AGAGATCACACGCGTGGGTCCCTGCGCAGCACTGAAAAGCATCGAAAGAGTGCTGCCAGAAGCACATCGCCTTCAATTATATGCACACACCCGGTGCACATTACATGTGTTGCTGGCAATAAACGTGTGAAAGTTATCATGATAAGATTGATCGTTAATACACTCACACTTGCCAACATTAAAGTTGGGGGTGAGCGAGAATTTATTCCTGCTGACTTGCCGTTGTACACCCTGGACCGGTCGCCAACCAGTGGCTGGGTGCATAGAGACAAACAACCAAGCACACTCCTATTCTCACCTATGGACTAAGGTAGAGATTTCAAGCAAAGTAACATGGATGTTTTTGGAAGCTAGAACAAGAAAACGCATGCAAACTACAGAGAGAACATGCAATCGAACCCAGGAGATGGAGAGTGGAGATGATGAACTAATCCACTCAATACACCACAAATTCTTAATTGGCCCAATCACACAGGCAACGTAACATTTTGAGATAAGGCACTAGTCAAATGACAAAATAGGCCAATTTACTACTGTGCACAATATAAGAAACAAATCTCAGTATAATGCAGTGTTATTCTACACAGAGAAAATAAAATAGTGTCAATGAAGTATTTATTATTTGTCAAGACAGATTTTTGATCAATTTCTTTGAACAAATAAAAGCGCTCAAGTGTACTGAATGAAGTGTGCAGGGGGTGTGTTTGAGTACATAAAACAAAGCTAAACTTGGGGATGGGTTGTCAAGCATGCAGAGTTGATGTAAATCAATTGGAATTCTATTGGGCTGTACTTGAAATGCAAGTGAGGCAGATTTGAATCCTTTCGTACGGTATCGAATTGCGAGAAATCTTATTTTAATTTATCATGAATATGCATGTAACGTGGTGTGTCATATACACTGGATATAATTTCTGCGCACGTCTGCAAGACTGGATTAAAAAATAAATAAATAAATAAAAATAACGTCCACGCAAGGCACCTCAGCGTCTCGAGAGGCGGCGCTGTCTTCAGGTTCGTCCGGTCACGTCCCACCTACCTTGGTGAGCTGAGCGATCTTCTTGCACATCTTGTTGTGCATCTGGAAGTCGCACTGCTCCTGCTCGACGTTCTGGAACTCTGCCGCATTCCCGTTAACGGCAGACCC